GCAGCAGACAGACCATTAGCAGGCACAAGGTTTGCATCTTGGTTCTGACGTCACTGCTGCCTTAGCAGGGTGCATCAGGGACACAAAGGGGACAGGAATAGGCAGGGCAGCAGTGAGGACCTCCCTACCTGAAAGCAGCAGGTCCAGGTGCAGCAGCTCTTAAAAGAGTTGTAAGGGCACTTACTGCAGGCACAAGGATAAGATGAGTCACTTAGAAGTTAAAGACAATTGAGGAATGGGAGGAGAGCTCAGAGCTCACTGCAGGGAGAAATCCTCACAGCCCATCACACAGTAAGTTTCTGGCTGCGGGACACTACTGCTGTGGGTCCTGGAGGGTTCTTCTGAAGCAGGTACCTTCCTCAGCTGCTGGAGTCTATCAGAGTGGTGCTTTCAGTTTTCTGTTTGGACATTTAGAGCGTGGATTCCCAGCCATACAACTGGAGGGACAGGGTATCATGACTGTCCTCACAGGCACYATGCAGGGGTGTGAACCCTGAGAGTGCACCCAGGTCTGTAATTCAGAGCCGTGTCCCTGCTGCCCAGGGTGTTGTGTGCCTGGGACAGTGACTCTGCCACCTGGGAGAGCAGTGCTCAGCCTCCCTTGGGAGCTCCTCACCGTGCTGCTGGGAGAAGCTCTGAGTGGAAGGAGTGACCCCTGGCAGGCCACATTCATTCCCCCTTTGACAGGGTGCTGTGTGGATCAGAGCTGCTTTAAGCTTCAKCTCAGCTTCTGAAGGGGCCTTTTCAAGGCCCATTCAAGAAGAATGTCAAGGAAGTGGTTTCTGTAAAGATAAAGAGCATTCCCAARTCTTTGGGTTTCCTACTGTCTGAGGGTGGAGCTGTTGGGTTTGGACAAAAGACTGACACTCTAGTCAAAAGGACAAAAGACYTTTTACTGTGARGAACCTCAGAAAGCCCTTTCCCCACTCAGGAGAGGATCTATGAGCACTGACATGGAAAAGATACAGGTTAGAGGAAAAAGCTCCTAGAAGGAAAAGCTCCAGGCTGTGGAGATAAGATTGAAGAATGAGAAGAAACTAAAAATAGAAGTAGTGTGAGTGGGGTAGTTTGGAAACTCCCTGTTATCCCCTTCAATGGAGACATCTTCCTCTAAGCAGACCTCCCCATGTCTCCCCTCCCACCCAGCAAAGCTGCTGCCCTCATCCATGCCATAGCTCACTCTTTAGCAGCCTGAGCAGCTGCAGAAGGAAGGAGCATGTCTCCTACAAGAGGCCCATTTCCCACTGCACAAAAAATGCCTGAGAGTGACTGTCCTGCAGTGTTGCCATTTGGGAGATGGTGTGCACGGCTGTGTGAGGTGAAGGCTTTCCTGAATGCCTGTCCATCTCTCGCTCCTTGCCTTCCCTTTGTTAGGAAGTTCACAGTATTGTTCCTTATATCCTCACCTCTGTGCTGCTGTGGTTTTTTGCTCTTGTGCTCTCTGGGGTTAAGGAGAGGAATTCAGCTGCAGTTCACACAGTAACCTCCCACTTGCCTTTCCCATTGTCTAAGGAAAGAGTGAAGATGGTTAAAAACAAGGTGAGGGTAGTGTTCATCTCACTGGGACGGAGTCATCTAGAAAGGGTTGGATCAGCCCCTGCCTTTACTGCAGTGTTTCTCTGCTTGGCCAGAGTGGGAGCTGATGTGACTGACTGAGGTACAGACACCTCTGCTGAGGAGGGCAAGGCTGGGGAATGAGTCTCTCATAAGCATCTTCTCTTTCAGGCACAGTTGGCATGCATGCTGTATTTGTCTTTCACAATGATCGAGACTATTTCCACTGGGTCACTTGACCAAATCCTCTTCACTGAGCTCACAGCACCCATCCACAGCTATACCAAATGCAGAGGCAGTTTGAACCCTCCATTTACACGCTTCAGTAAAGTGAGACTGAAGGCAGAAGTCCATGCACAAACCAGCAAGCACAAACTGGCATTCAGAAATGCCTGCTGAATGAAGGGAAGCGGAGCTGAAATGTGGAGGCTACTATGAGGAGTGGAATGAGTTTTGTTCAGAGAAGTCTATGCTTTTCCTCCATGGACAGTTGTCAAAATGGCAGCAGCTGCTTGGGACACTGGTCTTCTCAGTGCTGTGCTGCACACTGCAAAGACATTTTCCGTAGTGTTCTGCCAGGGAGATGCCCTGGGACAATTCTTCTGTGAAATTGCGCAGATCTTCAAGGTGTCCTGGTCAGATACTTACCTGCAGGAAGCTGGCACTCTGGTGGTTAGTCTTTGATTAGCATTTGGATGTTTTGCTTTCACTGTGTTGTCCTATATGCAAATCATCTCTGCTGTGCGGAGGATCCCTTCTGAACAGGGTTGGCACAAAGCGTGTCCCGTGTGCCTCCCTCACCTGTCTGTCATCTCTCTGTCAGCATTGCCATGTTTGCTCCCCTGAAGCCCTCCTCCATCTCTTCCCATCTCTGGATCTGGTGATGGCAGTTCTCTGTGCTGCGGTGCCTCCAGCAGTGAACTCCCTTGTCTAAAGTATGAGGAACAAGGATGCACTGGGGCAAGTCATCGAACTGGTGCTAGCTCAATAGCAGTAAGCTGCCCATCCCCCTTCACAAGTGATTTCTAATAAATCATGGACAGCTTTAGTGCTTTAGGTGTTTTCTCTCTGATGATCATGTTTGTACAGTGATATYTGAATTCACCCTGCTTTTCAAGAGGCATGAAGCCTCCACAGAGTCATAGAATGCTTAAGGTTGGGAGGGACCTCAGAGGTCATCTAGTCCAACCGCCCTGCACACGCAGGGTCACCTAGAGCACGTGGTACAGGGCTACATCCAAGCGGGTTTTAAAGATCTCCATATAAGGAGACTCCACAGCCTCTCTGGGCAGCCTGTCATACTGTCATAGTCCTCCTTGTCATACTGAAAGGCCTTCTGCAGATGTGTCCACCACCGTGTCAGACCTGGCCTCCCTCTAATAAAAGGAAATGTCCTCAGTGTAGTGCTTGGAAGTTGAGCTCTTCTTCCAATGTTGTAGTCAATTTGCTCAAGAACTTCCATCCTGAAAGGGGCTAGCTTTTCTGGAGCTGTCCATGTGCTCAAGGCAATGAAATTATGGGCTGATGAAATAGAGAATGAGGGCAGGATTCAGCTCTCATTCCTCTGTACACAGGACAGCATGAGAGCTCTGCCCTGCAGCCCCACCAGTCGTTTCTGCTTCCCCAGGGATGGAGCAGCCTGCCCTGAGCTGGTGCACAGAGAAACCTGCTTCTCTTTATCATTTTCTGTCTCTGAATGCTGTCCTGCCTTTCTCCACAGATATCCCTGATCCCCAGAGACTCTTTTTTTCCAGATGAGTGGGTGCACGCTGGCCTGACTGATCCTGAAAGTTCAGCTGATCCTGAACCCTCCTCAGTGCTCTGCAGAGGGCCCTGGGCTGGTAGTGCTGTTCCTCAGAGCGAGTGCACAATACTGTCTCTGCACTGGCCATGCTGGTTGGATGGGAAGCAAACCCAGCCAAAGAGGGCTTATGACCACTGACACTGCTCCCACATGGCTGTGCTCAGGGGTGGTGCTCAGAGTGACCCAAGGGCATTTGCAATAGCAGGAGATATGTTTGGGATTGAACTATCTCCAGCCCATGGCGACTCACTGGGGGTACATGAATCACTGTCCACTTCTCCTTCCTTGAGTTCATATTGCCTCTCCATGGGTTGCAGAGCCCTCGTTTCCCTATGCATGCTGGGATTTTGTGCTTCATCACCTGGTGACTCCAACATGGACCATTCCTCACTCTGTGAGGCTGCACTCACTGCCCAAGCCCACACCCATAATGTCCCTAGAGATTCCTTGAGCTCTCTTGGGGACTCAGGTGCCCTTCAAGAAGATTGAGTATCTGTCATCAGCACCATCACTTGTGGGACAGCCTCACATAAGGAAATCAAAGACCATTCAGCATCTCCACTGGCACTGGTCACCATGAAAAGAAGCTCGAATCCAGCCCTTGGTCCCTAATAGATCATACAGAGACTCTGATCATGCCCCATGAAGTCCACAGAGTGCACAGCAGAGCAGCAGGTGCTTTTGTGGTACAAGGCCTTGTATGTGTTCTTGATCCCAGCTGCTGAAGAAAGGCCAAACTTTAGGCTGTTACAGAGGAGATCTCTTTTTATTACAAGAATGACATTCTGGCATAACGTGCCATAAGCAATAAGCTTGGCTCTGTCTGAACTTACAGGACATATGCACATGGAACCCTATTACTGTCAGGCTATGAGAACCACTGGGCCATATACCCAGAACACAGCACAGAAGGACAGCATGGGAATGAAGAAAACTCCTGAAAGAAAAAAATCCTGCTTCTGCTGGTGGACATGGGAAACTTATAGACAGCACACAAAGGCTTCAGGGAAGAAATGTCACTCTTATGGCAGTGGAGGAATGGTGCTGACATGCACAGGGTCCACAAGCCGCTGCCTGACTCCCCTCCCCTCTGCTCTCCCTCCACTAGTAATGCTGGTGCAGAGTGCTGGAGAGGGAAGGGATGGGCCCACACCTGACTGCCACACTCACAGGAAGGGGGTGTGAGATCACACCCTGACTGTGGCCAGGGGAGCTGAGCTTTCCTGATGAACATGGGAACCATGGTCTGACCCAATCTGTACCCATCCAAGCTGTCCCATGGGCTCTCCTGCTCTCGGTTCCAAAGAGACTTGAAAAAAGGGAAACTACTCCTTGAACTGGGAGCACCTAGCGAGCTCAGACTAGCAGGTCCTAATGTTCCTCCATCTCCACATATGATGTAGGAAGCCCAGCTTCCTGCCTCAACATTGTCTCAGAGAGTTACAGTTTGCTGAGGACAAGTGGAATGAACCAAAACTTTTTATTGTTTTTTTTTTTGTCTTTACAAGAATGCAATGTATGAGAGGAAACAAAAGAAATGAAGAAAAAAATAGCTTTGAGGCCACATGTATTGTAAATGAAAAGTGGATGCACATGGGATAGCTATGGGGCTGGCTATGGGGCTGGCTATGGGGCTGGATACCTATTGGACGAGTTTCCTCAAAGCATCCTTGAGCTCCTTGTTCCTCAAGCTGTAGATGAGGGGGTTCAGTGTTGGAGGCACCACTGCATACAGAACAGCAACCACGAGATCCAGAGCTGAGGAAGAGAGGGTTGGAGGCTTCAAGTAGGCAAAGATGAGTGTGCTGACAAACAGAGAGACCACAGTCAGGTGAGGGAGGCACATGGAAAAGGCTTTGTGCCGTCCCTGCCCAGAGGGGATCCTCAGCACAGCTGTGAAGATCTGCACATAAGACAGCACAATGAAAATGAAACACCCAAAGACTAAACAAAGACTAACCACARGAACCCCAGCTTCCCTGAGGTAGGTGTCTGAGCAGGAGAGCTTGAGGATCTGGGGAATYTCACAGAAGAACTGCTCCACAACATTGCCTTGGCAGAGAGGTAATGAAAATGTGTTCCCAGTGTGCAGGGCAGCGTAGAAAAAACCACTGGCCCAGGCAGCTGCTGCCATTTTGGCACAAGCTCTGCYGCTCATGAGGGTCCCGTAGTGCAGGGGTCTGCAGATGGCCACAAAGCGGTCATAGGCCATGACAATGAGAAGAAAATACTCTGTCGCAAGTAAGAAGACAAGCAGGAAGACCTGGGCAGCACATCCTGAGTAGGAAATGGCCCTAGTGTTGCTAAGGGAATTGGCCATGGATTTGGGGACAGTCACAGAGATGGAGCCAATGTCTAGAACAGAGAGGTTGAGGAGGAAGAAGTACATGGGAGTGTGGAGGCGGTGGTCGCAGGCTACAGCTGTGATGATGAGGCCATTGGCCAGGASAGTAGCCAGGTAGATGCCCAGGAAGAGCAAGAAGTGCAAGAGYTGCAGCTCCCGTGTGTCCATGATTGCCAGGAGAAGGAACTCATTAAGGGAGGTGCTGTTGAACATTTGTTCCCCTAAGGCATCAGAGATAGTCCAAAGAAGAAAGGAAAATGAGAAGTGAGAACAGATTTTGCAAGAAAATTGAAAAAAATAAAACCCACAATTTTTCATACTATGCTCCCTGTATTGCCTCTCTTTTGCTGAGAGGATCTATGTGTTATACCGTTTGCTGAGAGGATCTATGTGTTATACTTTGCACTGAGTGTGCTGTGAGGAGCAGGAGTCTCTGCCCATGGCTGCAGAAAAGTTCATCCTGCATAGTTAGTGGGAATGAGAATGAGAATGGGTCTGAACAGCTCTGACATTCACAGTTTCTGTCGTGTGAAATCCAGTTGTCATGTGGAAGGGCTTTTCAGTGTCTTCACTATCAGTTCTAATAAATGAATGTTGAGGAAYRAAGTTTTAGAGTTTCTGTTTGTTTGTTTTTTAAATTTACTTATTTTCCTTCAGATGACCCTCAGAGGTAGAAATCCATGGCATTCCTGCTGTGAGTCCTGTGATGAAAGAAGACACTGCCACTTGCTGCATAATGAGCTAATTAACCTTGACTCCAGTGTCTGGTGTTCCCACCTCTGTCAGCTGGAGGATGAGCATACTCATATGCTGCCTTAACAAGAAARCAGCCACAGCTGAGGGCAGAGGAGTCCAGTTTGAAAGTGCAGATCTGCAAACTTCCCTCCTTTCCTCAGAGAAGCCGAGAGAGGTCTCCACACTTCTCTTTTAGCCAAGCATGCCCATATGCAGCCTCTMATCACCAGTTCCACATTCTTCTTATTTATGCACCTTCTTCAGAGTTTCTCACAATCAAAGATGCTATGAGACAGCAGGGCCTTTGTGGAGGGCAGCTCAAAGSCTGGCAAGACACAACAGAGTTACCATCAAATATCCTAAAGMGGGTCTTTCCTTGAGGSTAGARTCRGCTCAGTTCYCACTCCAYRGACTGGGTCCTGGAGCCCCATAGGTTAGAGGGGCAACTTCAYACCCACACAGACCCCTCTGTTGCACAACTCRTGGGGCAGCTATCTGAMCTGCAGCTGAAAACCTCCAACTCCAGAAAGCCCAAGAGGAAAACAGGAACAGCATGGWCAGGAGGGGAAACAAGGAGCGGTGCCATGATCCTGCTGCCAAGGGAGGCAAGGAGAGAGAGAGCCACAGGCACTTTGGAAARCCTTCACCTTGCCAGTTGGACATGCTACCTCACAGACTGTGACACTGAAGGGCAGATGACCTTACTCCCCAGCTACGTCCATGGTAGGAGAGATGCATCTCTCCTCTGCTGCAGGTCTGTCTGCAGAGGCGGTGCCTCACGATCTTCACTCCTTGGCTTTGGGGCAGAGGCTCTGCTAGGTGGGAGAGAAGACATGTTGGGCTTACTCAGAGGAAGGTGTCTGCATCAGCGGAACTAAGCATGACTTGCCAAATCCATCCTGCCATGATGGTTCTGTTAGTTCCTCTTATTCCCCGATCTTCTCTGCTGCCTRGAGCAGTCCCTGCCAGGAGCTGTTTCTCTGACCCAATGTCTTTTCCCTGCCAATGCTCAGAGACCCCATCCTACCATGTGTGTGCTCAGCTCTGCCCTAAAGAAAACTTCCCGGGACAGAGTGCTGACCAGGGGCATCTCTGTGCTTCAGGGTCCTAAGGGGCAGGTCACATAAACCACAGTGATAGCACAAAGGTGATGCTGTTACCATCCTAGGCTGAGGTGAGGTTTCTCACAGACCRACTGGTCTCTCAGAGGGAAGATTCAAGAATCCCAGTCCTTAAGCAAACCAGAAAATTCTTTCCTTTTTTTTTTTCTCCCTGCCAGACTCAGGAAACCAAAAGYACATACACCAGAAGGAAAGTTCCTGCCTTTTCAAGTAGCCCTTTTTGTTTTCTGAAAAGACCCCTGGGATCTATCCTGTGAGCTAGAGCTGACAGCAGCCCTGACCCACACAGTATCCTCACAATGGAAGAATAAACCTGCCCTGCCAGCGGTCAGTCCTCCCACCAGACCTTCTCTTCCCAAGAAGAGCCCATGGAGGAAGCAGGGCTGACCCTTGCAGAGGACAGTCATTGCCCCACGTAAACGGCACACTGAGGCTAGGCACACTGCTCTGAACTAGAGCCCTGGGCAGACCTGGGCACACATCCCGGCTTCACTCCCCTGCCACATCGGGGGAGAAGGTGGCAGGAGGCTGCACTCTCACTCTGACAGTGTGTCAGTGAATCCCTGCTCTGAAGCATCTCCTKCTCCTCTGCACTCAAGAGTCCAGGTGAGACATTCTAGAAGAACAGTCAAGGGAGGTGATATGTTTAGGRGTCTTAGTCATGTTGCTCCACAGTCAGACTTACCATGTCAAAGACTGCCAAGGTTCYTTCCACAGTGAGCTCCGCTCGGTCCTCCCACTCCAGTCTGCCTTTCACATCTCTCTCTCTTACGTCAACAGGAGCAGGCAGTGTCCAGAGCCCTGCTGCTCTTTTCAGAGGAACTCTCTTGGACAGAGCTGCCTCTTGACAGTGCTGCCAGGTAACCATGGGTCCCTTYGTCCCAGAAGCCTGGACCCATTTGGGGACAGTGGCTCAGCTGCAAGTATGCCTTTATTTGTCCTATATATGCCCTCCTCTTGGGAAATGTTCACTGAGGTAAACTAAAATAATCACTGATGGTCTTTCTCTAAGCTCTGAACAGCATTGCAGCATTGCAGTTTCTCTCATTAGAGGCTGGTTATCTAAGAGATGTGGAAATGACACACTCTGGAAGACCCTATTTCCTAACTTGACAGGACACCTAGAAAAGGGGCAACAAGGGACTTCTTTTACCAAAGTTCAGGTGTTAATTCAGATGAGTCAATGAGGGCATGACATGGCAGGTTAGAAACCCTTAGAATGGGATGGGATCGAGATCCCTCCTGTGAACTTCACAAACATACAAGAAGTGAGATTCTCCTTGCCAAAGATGAGGTGTGCACAACAGAGATACGTGCATGCGAGCTCCTTGTTAAGATTCTCATTATAAACAATGGGAGTGCAGTCAATTGCCCACACTCAAACACCTAGTGACATTTGATGAGGCAGAGGTGGTCCCCGACATGTGGTGCCAGTGTCTGCATGCGTTGATGGAGCAATTGAGACCCACATTCTTCTAGAGCCTCAAGTGGAGGCCAGGTGGGGAACTTCCTTAGCAATCTGAAATGACACCAACTGTTACTAGAGCTCCACTCGCTAGGAAGTTGAGACTCAGGCAGATCTCTACATTGTAAACAGCTAACATAATTCAGTGCACATTGGGGTGTCCAGCACAACCACATGTTTCTAACAAATACAGCATGGGACCTACAGGAAAGCCTGTCCCCTTTTGGGTGTTTGCTGAGTAAATGCCCCATGGTCTCTCAGCTTTCCTATCTGTGTGCAAAAAAAATAAACCCCACCAGTCTTTAGTCAAACTCACCCACAGCCCAAAATGCTGCATAAATGGGAGACACCATCACACTCAAGTCTTGTCTCTTTTCTGATCTCTGTAATGGTCATTGCACATACAGCGTTCTTGACCCTTGGTGATATGGTTCACCAGGAGCAATTACACTCTGTGCAGCAGCTCAGGCTCTGCAACCCAAACATGCACATGTGGGCATACAGGGGCGCAGAAAAAAGCAGCGGGTGGAAATGCACAAGCTGTCACAGCACTGAAACATTGTTGGAATAACTGAGATGTGGTAGGATCACCCAGGTGACTAGAGGGCTGTGATAGCACAGCACAAGGTCTTCCAGGACACTATCAGGAGTTGAAAAGAGGGGATACCTTTTGTGTGAGATGGGCAGCTCAGATTTATGGTGCTCTTCCCTAGAATGGACAAAGAGAGTGAGAGCTTGTGTTTGAGCATCAGATAAGGGCGACATTGTGATGGGAGCTACAAATCATTCAGTCTGTGTGAGGAGRTGAAAGCAATCTCCTTGAAGCAACGTGAGTAATCTGTGGGTCACAGGGCTTGGTTCTTATGGGGAGATCTTGATCTCTTTGGTATTCACTGGAAGGACAAATAGCAGAGTCTCCTATAATGTCCTCCTAGGCAAGGTCAGGAAGTGCAGGTTAGATGAATGGTCGTTTGAGGTGGACTGCCCACAGGCTGAATGGCAGAGTTCAAAGGATTGTGATCAGTGGGGAAGAGTCTAGTTGGAGGATTGCAGTTAGCAGGATCCCCAGGGATCAGTACTAGCTCCTATCCTGTTCAACTTCTTCATAAGTGACTGGATGAAGGAACAGAATGCTCCCTCAATGAGTTTACCGATGATACAAAAATGGGAATAGTGGCAGAAATACCAGAGAGCTTTGCTGCTATTCAGATGGACCTGGACAGGCTGGAAAGAAGGGCAGAGAGGGACTTCATGAAGTTCAACAGAGGGAGGTCTCGTCGGGCCCCATACCTAGAAAGGGATAATCCCATGGAGCAATATAGGCCAAGAGTAGCTATACAGAGAGGGAGCTGAAGCATCCTAATGGACAACAAGTAACCATGAGCCAGCACTGAGCTCTTGTGGCCAAGAACACMAGTTTAATCTGAGGAGTATGAGAAGAGTTGCCAGCACRTAGAGGGAGATGATGCTCCCCCTCTCTTCAGCCCTCATGAGGCCACATCTGGAGCTGTGGAGCTGTGGAGCTCCCTAGTTCAAGAGCAACCTGGAAATACTGGAAAGAGACCAGCATAGGGTTATGGAGATAATTAGGGAGCTGCAGCATTTCTCCTGTGAAGGAAAGGCTGAGAAAGCTGGGCCTGTTCAGCCTGCAGAAGGGAAGGCAGAGAGGGCATCTAATCAGTGGATACAAATCCCTTAAAAGAGGGTGTCAAGAGATGGGGCCAAATTCTTTTCAGTGGTGACCAGCAACAGAACAAGAAGCAATGGCTACAAACTGAAAGACAGGAAGTTCTGCCTGAATTTGAGGAAGGCACTTCTCAACTGTGAGGGTGACAGAGCACTAGAAGAGTTACCCAAAGAGGTTGTGGAGTCCAGTCTGGAGCTATTGCTCT